TATCAAATGGATTCTGTTATCGGGCTACGCTTTGGCAGATTGAAAGACAAAAGTTTTCTTAAAAACGCGCAGTTTCGTCTGCTTGCCAGTGGTCGGGACCGGAAGTCCGTATTCTTGACAGGGTTGCCAGATAAAAAAAAATACATTTTATGCCAAACCATTTCTCAAAATATGCCAGAAAATGCCAAATAAATTGTAACATTGTACTCCCTTCACATCAAAAGCGCTAGATTGAATTCTTTACTATCATCCTAACTGGGACCAGTGAAAGACACAGCGTAAACCTTTTCGGATGTAAAATCTTTAAGCATTTTCTCAGATGGGATGAAGTCTTTGCAACTCATCTATAATGATGGCATATTTCTTGTTCAGAAAATCATCCATAAGATCATCTTTAAGTGCAAGCGATATAGTATATATATATATATATATATATATATATATATATATATATATATATATATATATATATATATATATATATATATATATATATATTGGGAATAAACATTTAGTTCTATGCAACTGTATGAGCTTCAATGTACCCCCTCAACCATGCGCTCTCATGATTTCATTTAGATGATCTTTTGTGCGTATTGCACAATGGCAGGTCATGTCTGCAGCAAGTTGCAACTCTGCTGCCTCTAACTTTATCATTACTTTGCTAAGGAGTCATTGTTGTAATAAGCTGTGACTTGCTTTTTGACGGAGTTTTCATTCTGTGTTTTTCGGACTTTTAATGATTTTATAAGCTACTAATTCTTGGTACAACAGTGCAATGACACAGTTTGCAGTATGCTGCCTCTGATCCGTCTGAAGATCTTGTGAGCCGTGGGTATGTTTTCTTCCAGTTACTATTATACCTGCGATGTCACAAGATGCTTTCCATTTTTGGATGACGTGGCCATTGGTAAAAGTAATAAAATCTATCACAGATAGAACTAGGTCTATGTCCTCTCTATTTTCTGTCCTCGAGTAGTTTCCGAAAATTCTGAATTATTTTATATCAGTGGTGGGTTTTGGTTTTATATCCCGCATTTATTTTAGTAGATTAACATACATTACAGAAGGCCTTGGTTTATCGAAGTCACCATCCGTTTAGGAATACAACACATACAATAAGAAATGGTGCGAATCTCAATAAGTCAGTACCAGGACATAACAACAAAGTCAAACTGAAATAAAGATGTTAACTGTAGGTCTACATTGCTAGGAAAAAACAAAATATGCCAGTTCATTATCTTATGCCAGTTCAATTTCAAATATACAAGATTTGTGGATTCTGGCATAAAAAATGCTAATATGGCAACCCTGATTCACTACAATTAACGTTAGGACCAGGCAGAAAAAAAAAGTTCCTTTAAGCCAAACTGCTACCAAAATTAAGCCAGAAAAAAAAGCCAGATAAAATGTAACATCGTACCCATTTCACATCAGTTTTTAAAAGGGTGTGAAAATTATAAGAAGGAGCAAAAAAGAGCGTGAGAAAGAAAAATAGTTTACAAAATGGATCACAATGAACAAAGGACGTTGCAGCGATTAGCCTTCACCAGCACAAAGATAACAACACAACACACATACACAAACATACACTAACTCTGAAGTGACAGCATAGGACTATAATGTACTAAATAAATGATACTCATCTGAGTTTCTGCTTTATTTTCACCTGCACTTAGTCCACACTGTAGTTGGTATATACTAGGTAATCATGGCAGCGACCACTGTCCCTGTGTTATTCTTTTTTTTTTAAAAGGTGTCAGCACACACCATAGGATCAATTCAAACTCTTTTAAATACACATAAAAAAATTATGTTGCAAGCAAGTTAAGGAAAATCAAAAGCCAACATCGTGTAGGCCGAAGAAAACATCTGCAACAACCACTGGGGTGGCAAGATGAGGTTGAGTCAGCGTGGGTGCTTAAAAGACATGCTGTAAAGAGCTGGCAGAAAGCAATGAAATCCGCAGACTCTACCCCAGACCTGCTGCGGGAATGCAAACACAAGATGCAAACCACAACAGCATCCTTCAAAGCAGTTGCCCAGCAGGCCAAGGACACAATTTGGGAAATATTTTGCAATGAAGTGTGCAAGGAAAGATCTCTTGCAAAATTCTGGTCCACACACAAGGCTATGACAGGTGCTCCCAGACGCCGAGGCATCAGAGACTTTCGTAATGGGGACCAGGCATGGAACAAGTCTGATGAAGAGAAAGGAAGAGCACTCCTTGACAGATACCTCAAGCAAATATGCACAAAAGACACTGCCACCCGTCAGACGGTAAAGCGGAAAAGGTTTTAAGCCCAACAGATGGCAGAGTCTCATTTACCAGCCCTAAAGTTCACCCTTTTACAAAGTCTTCTAAGCTCCTCTCATTTTACTCCCAAAACGACTCTCATTCAAGGATGTCACAGCTCCTCCCCGTGGGTAAGTCTATTAACTGTCAGTCAAGACTGTACAAACTTTGTTTGTCTTCACACGCTACATTCTCCTGGTTAACAAGCTGGTCAGAGCTAATAAACAACGTCACACCTCCCATCCCTTCTTCAACCTGCCGTAACCTTTATCAGACCATGTCAATTCTTCTGCTAACACTTTCGGCTCACTATGTCAATACTGGTGATCTGACCTGCACTCAAGTTAGGTAAAATCAGGGGAAGATAATTACAATTAGCCTAAGTTATCTGCTCCTAAAGGTCTGGCTAGGAGATAATTATCTGTCAACCAACCGATGGTGTGCAATCTCCAGCCACTAAGTCTGAGCTTGTCAGCCTTATATCTGTACCATAACACTTTACATCTGGGAAAGAGTCTCCATGTTAGATATCACCAGCCGTCCAGAAGAATTAAATATGTTTATTACGGTCGCCTTACTTAGATTAAGGATGTATCCAAATCCATCTTTTTTCTGTATACTTTAAAATACATAGAAATAAAAGCAGGTTGAGGAAAGACATTCTGAAGTCACCGAGCGTGTCGACACAGCTGAAACAAGGGCATTAGCACGGCTTATTACTCAAAAATTCACACACGTGAGCATTCTTAGTGACTCGATAAATATGCATTAAAAAAATCCAATCACAATTTATCACGCAAGAATGGATTGCAACACTAAGCACTTCACAAATAGCTGCCCTGACCTTCATCTTTGTGCCAGGTCTTGTGGGTGTACAAGGGAAAGAGCGTGTAGACTATCTTGCTGACACTGTGGTTGCTATGACTGGTCCAGTACTGGACAGAAGTGATGTTATCAATGACATGCTCTGCACTTACCGTACCGAGGAGCACGCCAAAGGACATGACCTCGTATCTCTGTCTTGATTGATCGACATGGGGGTGCAGCCTGTAGCTGCAGGAAATGAACATTTCACTAAGACGTTGATTAACTACCACAAAACAAACTTCATCATTCGTTTTACACTTGTGGAGCTTTTGAGGAGGAGATCGGAGCAATTATGGATCTGTCTGGAGTGCTGTGATGATAATCCTTTCTAATCACTAATCACTGATCACTAATGCTTACAGCATACTGCAAATCTGCTGCTTTGCCGAGCAGTAATTGTTGTGAAAAGCTGTGACTGGCTTTTTGAGAAAGTTTGCATCCCGTGTGTGTGTGTGGATTTTTTATAATTTTGATATGTTACTAATTCTTGGTACAATAGTTAAAGGACACAGTTTGCAATATGCTGCCTCTGATCCGTCTGAAGATCTTTTGAGCAATGGGTATATTTTCTCCCATTACTATTATACCTGCAACTGCTTTGTTAAGATGCTTTCCATGTTTTGGATGACGAAGTCATTGGTAAAATTAATCAAATCTATCACAGATAGAACTAGGTCTACATCATGTTTAATTTCGCACATCTCTGTGGCGATCAGGGCAGGGAACTGGACAGCTTCGTTGAGACCCGGTCCCACGACTTCTGCCATCTGACGAATCAAGGATGCAGAAGCCAGGAAAGCATTGTACCTCTCAGCCAGTTATTAACCAGCGTCTAGATGGGGTGGCAGTATAACCTCGATATGTTGTAAGGTGTGGACACGAGTTAGTTTGTCCAATCTAATAAATGTAACGTAACTAGTACACAAACAAGTGTCGTCAAACTGCTACCTTACGCAGCCTGCATCGGAAATCTGCGCTGATTGCTAAGTTAAGGATGGAGCGATAAGGAGATTGTCGTGAGTTCTGTAAAGGTGGTTGAATTCAACTGGAACGCTTAGCATGTAATGCTGTGTACTGTAAACACTTGGTAATGTGACACAATTCACGAAACAATTTCCTGTAGCTGGAGTTTAGTTTGAGAAAAACCAAGAAATTAGAGGCCGAACCAAAAGTCACACAGACACTTCCGACCGCCCAGAGAATTGTGCCAGTCTGTTGTTGCCCGACAGCGTCCATGCCAGGTAATATTGTATGATACAGTGCAATAATAATAAACTTTGGCACGTTGCCTACGATCACCATTATGGCTAGAAGAAGTACAACTTTGACAAGTCTCTTCTCTCTGTTTGTTAAAGTTGACGCCAACTTTATAGATAATGGGCGATAACTATTTGCGGTTTTTGCTACTGAAAAATCTTCAGTGTTAGTTTGTCGAATTCTTGAAGATACTTGAAGGGCGTACCCCATCCACAAAGCACAAACAACCATTATTATTTGTATCACCATTGTCATTGTCGCAGTCATACATATGTCGTAAGTTTCTTCGAAAAACACGGTGTCGTCATTAACTATTACAGTAAGCAACCATGCAAGTGCCCCTTTTAAATTCTCTGCGGTGAAAGTTTGCCTGTTTTCTACCCATCTTACTTTGAATATGATGTATGCAGGCGAGTGGATTAAGATGAAAATGATGTATATAGCCAGTATTAATCCAATGCAGCGAGATCGAGTAAACATCAGCTTTACTTTAAACGGATAGACCACACACAGACATCTCTCTATTGAGATCACTGTGGTGATCCAACAGGATGTGAAATAAACACAAAGCATTGTATACCCAAAGGCCAAAGTAGTCAGCGACCAAATGTCCAGAGAACTGTCTGGATAAAGGATACCGATTATGTAGAAAGTACAACTAACGAACTGGACTAATGCCACCAAAAGATCGGTCAATGAGAGAGCGAAGAGTTCCACAGACATGCTGTCCTTGAGGCCGAGCTTGTAAAAGATGACCATGCTGAAGATGTTGCTCCAAATGCCCAGAATTGAAACACCACCGCCGATAGTGAATAGTATAACAGTGCCCATAAATACCAGAGCAGAATCTTCTCCATACACTGAAGAATAACCGCTGTAATTTGAGGAATTAGCTCCAGTATGTTGCATCGTTGTAACCTAATCTCTTTCCAAAAAGTCCAGACTGAATGAACGCCAATTGCTAGCCAACTGGAAATGTAACCTTTATATTATATTTTTTTTTTAAAGAAGAAAAAAAAACGAAAAAGTAATGATGAAAAACCTAGCAACTGATATGACTGTTTATAAATCGACTGACATTTGTGTTTGAACAATAAAAAAAAAATCAATCCATTGATGTTCTGGTAATGTAGACCAGTCAAATGCTTTCACGTTATTTCAGGTATTAAATTAACAACATACTCCAACCACATAACAAGAAGAAGCCTGCAATCATATCATCATCATGTACCGTGCCGAGAAGTGCAAACTAAAATGTTTCGTGTTTCACACGATCACTAGAATCACTATCAGGTCATTGTTCTTGTCATCCGTATGGCTAAGCAATCATGTGTTCATCTCTTAGCCTTCCCCACCAATCTTACCAGTTATAACAGTTGTATCTAATCAATTTCTTTACATAACCTGTCCAAAACAACACTGACTCTGTGTATGTGTGTATGTGTGTGTATGTATGTGTGTGTGTGTCCGCGCGCGCCAGATGCTCTATATTCACGAAAAATGTTCTTTACTTTGACGTGTATCTGCCTCACCAACATTCGGCACCAAAATGTCCTGTTGTTTTCTTCTTCATTTTCTTTTGTCCTCACTGATTCCAGGTTGTAGCCCAGTGGCTTGGTTTTTCTGTTAATTGTCTTGCTGTTCTCGTGTGGCTTGCGTAATGGATTTGTCTATATTTTTACAGGTTTCGTGAAACGGAATTGCACGCAAAACTCACGATCCGGATCAAGACCTAGATCCAGACGTGGACGAACAACCAGAACTCTTTGCTTGAGTTTACAGCTGCTGAATGCCGAGAAAAAAATTAAAAAGAGAGCTTACGTGACACTGACACACCATTATATTATTAGCGCATATTGCGTTCAAAAAGAAACTCTATCGTACCAATTTTTGTAAAGTACATAACGCACAATTGTTTAGACAAACGGTTAGACATCAGTTTAAAAAGGAGAGCACATTCAACTGGCAGCCTGGTGTTGAAAAAGGTGAATTTCGAGGCATTCACATATTCTACGTCCAGATAATTCGACGTTTAGATGATCTGCTTTATTCATTGCCTTTATTCTTTTAAAGATTGTATTGTATCAAATTATATCAGGTTTTATTGAACCTTGAGCATAAACTCCGTCTTATCTCTAGTATTGAACTGGAACCCAGTTTCTCAGTAAGCGCCAGCACTAACCGGTATGTCACTGCTACTCCAAATATTTTTCAAGCCATACTTATGAAACCTGTCTTCAGTATGTTAGATGTCCAATAATTACAAGATGGTAAGTAACAATGTAGAATAAAACTGACAGCAGTTGTAATGACAGAAATTATAGCTAGGCATTTTATCATTCATATAACAACTGCTGGTTTTGGTCTGACGTAATATGTTACGGTATGTTTCGATACATTTATGCAGACCATAAAATCAGTACAGCACACTGTAATCAAGCCATATTTTAACGGCATAATAATTGAAAGATTGCTGGCGGTGTCCTGTGTGTTGTGAAAGTAATTACTTGTGGCGTCTTTCAACAATACAGCAAATAATAATTTGCACAAGAAGGTTCATCTTTGATAATACTGTAATTTGATAAACGGGACAGCAGCAGGGAGTTATAGTAATTATCGTTTCTATATTACGGAGTTATATCCCTTGAATTGTCTTTCGAGAATCGTCGTTAGCTGGGGAAAAGGCTGTTATGATTCACAGCAAGTTACTTTCTCTGTCTTGTGGAACTCATTGTATGAATCTAACTCGTTCTTATCCTAGAGAAAGTTGTTTATTTAACTGTTTGTGTAAGTTGCGACACTGAAGTGATCCAATAATCATCACCAACCACACACTGTACATTGAATGGCTACAGTCAAGACTCTATAGTCTAGGTAACTGAACAAGTGACTCGTATTCCACCCCTGTATTCTTACAGCAGATCTCTGGATATCTGCATGTTGCTGTGATATTCAGTCCCAGTGGGGCGTTATACCCCGGCTGTGGTCCGGGGACCTAGTATAACCTAACGCTTGAAGGTTATTTCTGGGCCTTGCACTCGGGGTTTTTTCATCCGAACAGTGACACTTTGTGCCACTGGGTGTTGATGGCATACTTTATTCTGTCCCTACTTGTCTAGGACAAAGATTTCATCTACTTCAGTTTAGCCGTTTCGAGTGAAAAAAAATATTAAAGTATCTTTTTAATGCCAGTTTGTGCAATGTGTATATTTTTAGACCCATGTTCTATAGACCATTTGACATTCGATAGTGATGCAGACAGAATCACGCTGACAGTCTTTCCTTCCTATTGTATTTCAGGGTACCCATTTTAAATGGGCCGACCTTTGGCCCAATAAAAACCAATAATAAAAAATAAGTCTTTATGCGGACTCAAACTAAGACCTACGAAGAAGCAAATGGCCAGATCTAGATGATTAGCAGGGTATGTTGGATCGTTCTGGCAGACTGGCATACCGTACAATGTTCTTGGAGTGGCAAGGGTATCAAATAAAATGTTCACAGCAATGATGTCAAAAACAGTCAGAGAGGCAATCAGTGTTGATTGAGGGTGTAATTTTCTGTATCAAAGCTGATCAGTTATATCAGCTAACCACAGTTCTATATTGATCACAAACGTATTTCCAGATAATGTGTCTGTTCCTGCTTCAGAAATTTTTTTTAATAGAGTATCTAATCACAGTCAAGTCACTCCAGGTTCCTTGTAAATTTCTTCAAATATGGACGAATTTCGCAGGACATTAAGGAGATTGCCTTATCTAGTACACATATTGTCACATAAGAAGATGATGTTTAGTCATGGAAATGTTCCACCTTCTGAAGATGTTCTTTAGTTATGGAAGTGTTCCACCTTCTGAAGATGTTCTTTAGTTATGGAAGTGTTCCACCTTCTGAAGATGTTCTTTATTAAAGGAAGTGTTCCACCTTCTGAAGATTTTCTTTAGTTATGGAAGTGTTCCACCTTCTGAAGATGTTCTTTATTAAAGGAAATGTTCCACCTTCTGAAGATGTTCTTTAGTTATGGAAGTGTTCCACCTTCTGAAGATGTTCTTTATTAAAGGAAGTGTTCCACCTTCTGAAGATGTTCTTTAGTAATGGAGGTGTTCCACCTTCTAAAGATGTTCTTAAATAATGAAAGTGTTCCACCTTCTGAAGATGTTCTTTAGTTATGGAAATGTTCCACCTTCTGAAGATGTTCGTTAGTTATGGAAATGTTTCACCTTCTGAAAATGTTCGTTAGTTATGGAAGTGTTCCACCTTCTGAAGACAATGTTTAATTTTGGAAATGCAGCCTTTCTGAAGATGATACTTAGTTATGGAAATGTTCCACCTTCTGAAGATGATACTTAGTTATGGAAATGTTCCACCTTCTGAAGATGATACTTAGTTATGGAAATGTTCCACCTTCTGAAGATGATACTTAGTTATGGAAATGTTCCACCTTCTGAAGATGATGTTTAGTTGTGGAAATGTTCTATCTTCTGAAGATAATGTTTTGTTATAGAAATGTTCCGCTTTCTGGAGACGATGTGTAGTTATAGAAGTGTTCCACTTTCTGAAAACGATGTTTAGTTAAGGAAATTATCTATATTCTGAAAATGATGTTTAGTTATGGAAATGTTCTATCTTCTGAAGATTATGTTAAGTTATGGAAATGTTCATTCTTCTGAAGATGGTGTTTCCTTACGAAAATGTTCCACTTTCTAAAGACAGAAATATTCCATCTTCTGCTTATCCTATCCCTGCTAGTTCAGAGCGAAAGGTTACTTCATAACCGTCAGAGTTCTGAATATAACCTCATTATTAAATGGGTTTACATTGGTTTGTGCATGAAGGATTCTCATCTTCGAGATGTTAATCATGTTGGCTGGAGTCCTGGGGGGGGGGGGGGGGGCAGATACAATCTCAGTCTTCTGTTTAGTCTTCGTCTGAGCAGTGAGTTATGTGCCCTCAGTTTGGGCAACTGTTGTCTCCTTTGATTATGTGGGTTCTATTGTGGGACTTTCTAGTTATATTTTTGTCAGGTTTTCTCAAGTGTACACCCTTTTTAGCTTCACCACCTTTTAAATCACTGACATTTTTTTGATTCCCATATTTGGAGTTGAAAAAGTTTGGGCCGGAGTTTACAACCGAAAAAAAAAAGAAGGCAGAAAAAAAAAGAGTGGAAGAAGACTTTAATAGACCAACTGTCACCCCTTCCCCCCCCCCCTTCCCCACCCCAACAAATGTGTCGTAAAACTCGATTAATAAAAGGTTTGCTGGAATCGGCTGCGATGAACCGAAATGCGCAGATATCACAGGCAAATGTAAGACCTGTCTGATACCAGCCGCTTCAATAGCCATCACAGAAGATAACGCATAAGATTTGTTCTTTCTCAAAGCTTTACATGCGGTTCTGCCACACATTTATTTTATTCTGAAAATGCACTAGTTGAATAATATTCTAATTCCTTACCAATTATTTTAGTCGTTCCCCATGTTTCAGACCCATATCGCATTACTAAGACGGGAGACGGAACGGGAAAATCATTCCAAGAACCTGCTTCCAACAGAATCTCTCAGCTGGATAACAGAATTAGAACCCAGCTCGTTCTAGTCTCAAGCTGGTACTGGTAATATATCAAATAGTCCTAAATGTAATGTAGTGTGAGCGAGTCTTTTTCTCACTCACCCCCCACCGCACCTCACCTCAAACCCACCCCACAGCACCTCACCCCTACCCCAAATCACCCCCACCCCATCCACCTTTCTGTGTGTGTGTGTGTGTATTTTGTTATACCTGTAAGTGTATGTTACACATATTGAAAGAATGTGACAATAGTATAATTAGA